GTAAATTTATATTTCATTCAATAATTAAATAAACTATCTGTAGAAAGAAATAAAATTATTGAATGAAAGTCTTCTTTGTTTTGCCGCGGGAGCTCCGCTACTAGAGAGTAATAAAGACTAACAAGTATTTTTGTAGGGAGAAGATGACGCCATTTAGAAATCATTCCTATGCCACGTTTCATTTTGCTACCAATATAAGAAACGTGATGTTTCCAGTTTAGATTTTCATCAAAGAAGACCCCTAGATATTTAATATTAGTTACTTGTTTGAGGAGGTTGTTGCACAAGTACAACTTTAACTTGAAAGAGTCCCAATTAAGTTGCTCAATTTTGTTGAGTGCATTATAAACAAAAAATCGCACGATCAAGAGTACAATTCGGAATTTATAGATACGAGTGATGTTTTGAAAGTTTTCAAGATTTGACGAGCCTTTATAGGCGAGTTCAATTTGAGAACTTTCAAAACATCGCGATTTCCTATGCAAATTATGTCAGTTCAGTATTTTAATATAATTAATAGTAAGATCTAATTTAGGGCACGTACGGTGTACGGTTAACTTGAGAAATGTTTAACAAATACGTGCGCCTCGTGGATCCACACTACTTTGACAATGTGATGACGCAATTTATCGTCAATAAGAGGACAGACACATAAAAAACTGATGTCTATTTGTTTTTACAATAACAAAAAACTTCTCATTTTTAGTGATCAAAACAAACAACGGAAAGAGCGCGTGCTCGTTGACGTCAGCTTTATCTGTCTGTCCTCTTATTGATGATAAAAATTACCAATCAGCGCGCGGGAAATTTGTAAGTTATTTATCGCAAATCGGAATATAGCATGCCGTGGGATTGGTGGAGGAGGGATTTGGTGGAGGAGGAAACCCGTAGAAAAAAACCTCAGTAAACATCATCAAGGTGTCAGATGACGTGAATGATTTCTTTGTTTTATTTCCATCTACCGGCAGGTATTTTTTCTAAAGGAGATGTTTACAAGTTCTCTCCTTTCTCATTTAAAATATTTTAGCAATAACGTAGACATATTTTAGGGTATTATATTCATTAAGCTCGTGAAGGCAATTAGTGGGACATCGCTGACTGGACCGACCAATACGGATCGAGAGTGGTCCTATATATCACTAATGTCCAATCAGTTGTCTCACATAGACAAATATAACAAAGGATGATGGAGAGTAAGGGTCACTCTCTCTCTATAGAAAAAAGATTTTTTTCAAGATATATTTAAAATTTCTTAGTGAATTTTACATCGGAAAACAAATTTATATGAACCTTTTTCCCCCCCTTAACCTGAATCGAAATATCATGAACAAGGAAGGTAGGTTAAACACGTTTAAAGTCCCTATGACGCTTATTTTTTGTCATTTTTTTAACAGTTGTATTAAAAGTAGAAGGTCTTGGGAGACTATTCGTTTA